AAGACGATGAGAACATGCGTCTGTTGGAGCCCTACATGCACGACTTGGTGGTGAACGGTAGACCTTGCAAAGTTCTCCGTGACTCAGCCGCTACAATGGACGTGATTCATCCGTCCTACGTAAGTCCATCTGACTTTACAGGCGAGTGCGCCTGGATTAGACAGGTCGTTGAGGAGAACAGCGTATGTCTGCCGATTGCCAAGGTCAAAGTGGAGGGGCCTTTCGGGGAAATAGAAGTAGAAGCCGCGGTATCAAAGTCCCTGCCCGAGAGGTACCCTTACCTCTTTTCAAACAGATCCGATCTCCTTCTGAGGGAAAAGGGCCTAAGCTTTGGGGAAGGAGTTGTCCAGGCTTTGACACGTTCCAAGGCGCGCGAGCTCGCAGCTAAGCAGTCGACCGAACACGGTAGTGAGGGCAGTCGGGACGACAAGCACAATGGGTCAACTACTTCTGACTCCATCGAGATCCCTGAAGTGATTGAAGTTGCGCCCCGAGAGAGCAGTGACAGTGGGAGTGATCCGGCTGAGGATCAGGAACAAGTAGATAGACCAACTCCGGAGGAAGAGGGAAATTTTCTCTCGCCTCACTCATCGAGTTTTCAGAGCCTGGTGGAGGTGGACAGAGACAGTTTAGCGGCCGAACAGGCGAGTGACCCCACCCTGAGTAACATGACAAACCACACTCAAAGGGAGGGAGTGGCTAAGCGGAACGTTTCGTTCCACACTCGTTCTGGCGTGGTTTACCGACAGTACAGGGATCGCAAAGGGGTCAGTTATGACCAGCTAGTAGTTCCGACAAAGTATCGCAGGGACCTTCTCTGTCTTTCGCATGGTAGCTCTTGGTCGTGTCACTTAGGCGTAAAGAAAACCAAGGCACGATTGCTACAGGAATTTTACTGGCCGGGTTGTTTCAAGGAGGTGGAAGAGTTTGTGCGCTCGTGCGATGCCTGTCAACGCGTTGGAAAGCCCACTGACAAGCAAAAGGCGCCACTGAAGCTAGTACCACTAATCACCGAACCGTTCCGACGTCTGGTGATTGACGTCGTGGGACCTCTTCCGGTGACCGATTCGGGATACCGGTACATCTTGACCATGCTTTGCCCCGCGACTAAGTTTCCGGAAGCAATCCCCTTAAAAGAGCTTAGTTCCGCCGGGGTAGTTGACGCGCTTCTGTCGGTGTTTGCTCGGATAGGATTTCCGGCAGAGGTGCAAAGTGACCAAGGGAGCGTTTTTACTAGCGCCCTGACCACGACCTTTCTAGAAAAATGCGGCATTCGCGTAGTGCACAGCTCGGTTTACCACCCTCAGAGCAACAGCGTTGAAAAATGGCACTCAGTTCTCAAACGCGTTCTACGCGCGCTCTGTTACGAGCATAAGAAAGACTGGGAAGCCTGTCTGCCTGCTACGATGTTTGCTCTGCGGACGGTCCCGCATGAGACTACTGGGTTTAGTCCCGCTGAGCTGGTGTACGGGCGATCCCTGAGGTCTCCCCTCCGAATGTTACGTGAGGCATGGGAAGGCGAGGGCGAGCAGGTGACGGTAGTGGCCTACGTTTTAGAGCTTCTTGATCGCATGCACAGCACTAGAGAGTTAGTAGAGGCTAACATGAAAGCCGCGCAGACGAAAGCCAAACTCTATTACGACAGAACAGCCAGACGTCGCACGTTCGCCGTAGGGGACGCGGTCATGCTGCTCAGGCCCACTAAGAAGAATAAACTAGAAGTTCAGTGGGAGGGGCCAGCTGAGGTAGTTGGAAAGTTGTCTGACACGAACTATGCGGTGAAGATGCCTGGCCGGCGTAGGGAAGCCAGGATATTTCACAGCAACTTAATGAAACCATACCGACAACGGGAGGCAGTAGTCAACCTAGCTCTAAACATGCCCGAAGAAGTCGAAGCAGACTTTCCCGCGGTCGGTAACGAGCCAGAAGGTGAGTCTCTCCAGCGAATGCTGGAGAGGGTATAGAACGCGAGACGGAGTTAGATCCAACACAGGTAGCCGAACTCCACGCGCTGGTTAATGAGTTTCGTGACTGTTTTGCGGATAAACCAGGGAGAACCAGCCTAGTGGAGCATGACATCGAATTAATGACCGATACTCCGATCCGTTCCAGACCTTATCGCGTCTCTCCTAGGCAGAGAGAAATCCTAGATCAGGAAATAAAGCGAATGCTGGAGCTAGGGGTCATCGTACCAGCGGAGAGCGACTACACCTCCCCGGTAATCCTGGTGGAGACTCCTGGGAAAAGTCCTAGACCCTGTGTGGACTATCGAAAACTAAACGCCATAACGCGGGACCAGACTTACCCAATCCCTAATATTGAGGAAAGAGTCGAACAGGTAAGCAGCGCAAGGTTTCTGTCAACTTTAGACTTAACTAGAGGTTAGTGGCAAGTCCCCCTAACGGAGCGGGCAAGCCAGTACGCGTCTTTCATCACTCCGATGGGAACTTTTCGGCCAGTAGTGTTAAGCTTTGGCTTAAAAAACGCGCCATTTTGCTTCTCCCATCTCATGAACCGGGTATTGCAAGGGCTGGAAACTTTTGCTCTTCCTTACCTCGATGACATTGCTGTGTTTTCTGAGAGTTGGGAGGAGCACGTGGCAAATCTGAAGGAGGTTTTGAATCGCCTACGCGACGCCGGATTGACCATAAAAGCGGAAAAATGTCAGCTAGGCCGAGCCGAAGTTAACTACCTGGGCCATATCGTAGGAAGAGGATACCGACGGCCGTCTGAGCTCAAAATCGCAGCTGTAGAAGAGTACCCGAGGCCACTAACCAAGACGGACATAAGATCATTCTTGGGTTTAACGGGATACTACCAACACTACATCCGAGGCTACTCCCAGATCGCTAGTCCGCTGACAGACGCTCTTCGAAAATCTGAACCTTTGCGGGTGGTGTGGAGTGATGCGAAGGAAGACGCCTTTCGTTCACTCCAGAGACAACTGTTGAGCCAGCCGATTCTTCGGTCGCCGGATTACAGCCGTCCTTTCATAGTGCAGTGTGACGCGAGCGACCGGGGCATGGGGGCCGTGTTAAGCCAGAGGGAGGACGATGGGAAGGAGCACCCCGTCTTATACGTTAGCCGAAAACTTTCTACCAGAGAAGAGGCCTACAGCGCCTCGGAAAAGGAGTGTGCATGCCTGGTTTGGGCGGCCGGAAAGTTGGATTGCTATCTGGCAGGTACGCGCTTCACTTTCGAGACAGACCACTGCCCACTCACGTGGCTCCAAAACATGTCCGCAAAGAATGGGCGTCTTCTGAGATGGAGCTTAGCTCTACAGCGGTATAATTTTGAAGTTAAGTACCGAAAAGGCAAGCTAAACGGGAATGCGGAGGGGCTTAGCAGAGGCTTTGTCGCGTAGGTTGAAATTCTTGATAATGTTGCCTTTTTCTTCTATTAATATTTTTTTTTTTTTGCGTGTGTAATATGGTTCGATGTCAGCCTGATTTGGATGAAAAGCATCATCATATGACTTTCTTTGGGATCAAAATTGAATGAGTTAATCGTCTGCTTTCCGAGGCGGTATATCCTTCTGACCTTTACATTTGGTTGCGTGGTGTATATTTTCTAGATATTTTGACGTATCAGTTACGGGGTTGATTGAATTCACATTAGTGGTCTTAATTGTTTGTCTTCGCTACCTGGTAAATTTCACTGGTGGAGTGTTGGGCACTGGCTGGGGTTACGGCTTCGGCTTTTTTGCGGGTTCTGTTATGCCTTCGACAGGTCTTCACCCAAGTCTGCTCCACCCGGGGCAGTTCTTCGTTCGCCAACCAAGTCTACGGAGGAAGCGGAACTTCCTGGACTCTTCGGAGAGCAGCGGTGACTGCAACCCCTTCGAGTCCACTACCTGGCGGCGGAGGAGCTGTTATGAATGGCCCCCGGACCAGACCGTCTCGATCTAAACCACCCGGCACTGGGGAACCCCCTTGAGAATCGTCGCCATATGGTTCCGGTCAGTTGAGATTGAGCCCGGAAACGAAGCGAGCGGCGACAAAGAGATGGCTTTCGACGGAGGACCACCGTGTTGTTGCCGCCACACCTAGGCGCGAAGCTGAGCCGGACCCTTACTTCTGGCGGGGATTACACTGGCCCGAAACAGGGTCACCCGACGCAGGAAACGGGGATTATTGTGCGAAGATTCCGGATGACGGTGCGCCAGCTGCGGGACCTCCGTGAGGGTGTGTTCAGCACGGATCATCTTCGGACGCCACTTGCGGTTGTTCCGGCCCAACCCTTTTCGTGCCACAAAGCCGCCTAATGGAGAGATCGGCACCACCTCGGCCAGCGTCGTCTCCCCGGCTGAGAGTGGACCCTTTGTTGTCGCCTCCTCGGCGCGGCATTCGAGAGCGGGAGTGACTCAGAGCCGGGGTGTGATGTCCGGCCGCTACTACGCTGTGGGCTTGTGCGTGCTAGTGGGCGGGGCCTGAGCCGTTGGGGAACGGCGTCCTGGCCTAGAGACGTAGGGAAGGGGGACCTTATAAAAAGAGCGGTTTTACGCGCTCTCGGTGTGTTCTCACGTTGTTCTCATGCCGTACGGCAGACTGTACATAGAATGTAAATAAACAGTTTGAGAAGAGACACCCTGGCTCGCTACCAACTCTGCCCGATGTCCTGGGCGACGCATGGCTCCAGCGGAGATCGGCTACTTGGACAAGTCCCGAGTCACAACAGCCCCCAGCGCGAAAGCGAGAGGGCTCACGTACTTCTGCTACTGACAGGGGATGGCGATCCTTCATCAAAATCGTCAAGAAATCATTTTTCAAGGTTCGGTACATGTAACGTATTGGGCTAGAACGTTCTCGCCCTCTTTTCACCGATGGGGCTATTACTGGGTGAAACATGAGCATTTTCTAAGACAATTTATAACTTGATCAAACTTTTACCCAAGATTTTCCAGGTCTGCCAAAGCAGTCGAAGCGCGAGGTTCTACAAAAAGGTTCGGGATGTCCCTACCCGCTACCCTTATCGTGATCACTCAAAGAGCTACCTGTTACCTGCTGGGATTGGGTTCTTTTTTGTGCTCCTCGTGTCGGCGTCCGCACAAGATGGGCCCAGGATAGGGAGGAACGTCTTGACCCACTTGTTTTTGGGGGCGTAGTGCCACTTGGAGGTGTCTACCACCAGCGTCCTTCCCTTGCGCAACGCTTCCAGCAAGCACCAGAGCAGGATGTGGACACCCGATGCCAATCCGTACTTGTTCCTGAGAGGACAACGGAGCTTCGGAGCCGCGGTGCAATTGGCCGGATTCTGGACAAAGACGCAGAAAGTATGTGTATATAAGTTCGTTTGACCCGAAGTCTGAGCGCAGCCGACGCTGGGTACTTCCATCTCAAACATCCCAGACATTGCGATCGACCATTTTCTACGTTTAAAAGAAAATCCGCGACTTTTTACCGCAAGGTAAAAAGTCACGGATTTTCCTTAAATAGTTTCACCCATTTTTTTTTTTTTTTTTCGTATCGTGAGCGTGGTTTGAACTCTTAAAATGAGCGTAAAACTATCCATCATATTTTTTAAGAAGCGCTTCATAATTGGTTTTATGAAATGCGAGCGAATTTTAGCTTGCTATGTTGCGATGATTAAGCAATTTTAATTGTTAAAATATTTTTTTTAATTCAACAAATTGCGCGAAAGAAAGCACTTTTTTTATTTTTCTTCAATTATTAGCGCCTGGCAAACATATATATATATATATATATCTTGGAAGCCCCATCCCATAGACGTATTCTAAGGAGAAAAAAATGTTGAAGCCGTACAACACATTCTTCGCAAAAAAAAAAAAAATATTCCAACGTTGCAAAAAAGTTCTATGCCGCCTAAACACTGGTCTATTCTACCCTGAGCTGGTCCAAGTCAAGTCCACGTGAAGCGAGTGGAAGCCACTGGCTTCACGTGAGCGGTCGTCTGTCACGTGCTTCCACAGCTCTCACTTCGAAGTCGACGCACTTCACAGCGGTACGAGTCAGAGGACTGCGCGATCGGAAAACCTGAGAGCACTCTGAAAGAACCAACCGAATATACCTCGAGCGCCCGACTTCGACAAGCCGAATGTTCATCGGCTTTTAAAGGTGCTCCAAGACACTGGAAATCGACCAGCCCATATACCATGAGAAAGGAATCGAAGAGGCGGTTGGTTCTATGACAATTATAAACAAATATTTTATAAGATCTTTTATTGTGCTTTGCAGGCATCATTTTACGCTTTTAGACATGCATTTTATGCTTTTCGTCAAAGTTTAGATATATAATCTTCGGCGGCACGATTCATCACGTTAGTGCGTGGTAACATTCGGGAACATTGAAAATAATTATTCCCTTTATCAAACAAACAACAGATCCGATCAGAAGTTGCTTTTAACGCTGTCTTGGCCAGGCGACAATAATCAATCGTTTATTTTTAGACATCAGAAACACAAGAAACCCGCCTCGCCTTGTTTTCTTATTTGCGCTGAATGTAATTAGATTACGCTCTTTCAAGCATATAACATAAAAAAGCAAGTTTTTTTTTTTACTTCTTTAACGGTTTTATTGACGCATGCCTTGTTCTCGAGCCTTTTTTTTTTTTTTTTGCATACAAGGAAACTTCAAGCAAAAGTACGCATCCCTAAACTTATCCCCACACTTATAGACCAGAATCTAGATTATCATGCAAGCACGTGTACGCTGAGCAAGCTCTAAAACATGTCATTTCATCTACTTCTCTGCAGACCACTTAACATTGGACCTACGAAATTCTCTTGATCAATTGCAAGACGATCGAAACACCTTTCAAGCGACAAATGAAGTAAGCAACGTGGCACTGACGACGACATTCGTCGTTGTGACGTCGTGATAATTGTCGCCTTGTGACCTTTACTTTTAGAGCGTACAGAATATTAAAGCAATCTTTTTGTGACCGTTCGATTCGAACATTGCACTAATTGGCTCTACGGGATTTTAGTTTAAAAGATGACGCGTGGGCAGTTAGCTCTGATTAGAAGGATCCGTGGATCGACGCAAAAGGTATGTGCCTTTATGTCTTACCCGCTGCATCTTCCTCTAATCGGAGCAAACAAGCGCGTCGCGTCTGCTCCACGTTCAGTGTCTCGCGTTCGAATACCGGACGCCGGCGTTCGGCGTCCGAACGCGTTCCAACAGTGAGCAAGGCGGCTGGCCTTTGCGCCTACTCCCTCATCCTTCCAATCAGAGCCCGGCACTCTGACGTCACCGTGCGCTCTTGTCTCCTCCTCTCCCTCAGTTTCCCTCGGTATACGTGTTTTCCACTGACGTCACTTGGTCACACATAATGATGGGGAAAAGGACACGTGAAAGCGTTGTTTCCGCTGCGTTAACGAGACGCTCCTGACAACCAGAAAGAGGGGCGGACTGGAATAGGTCTGGATCGCCAACACAATGCTCTCATAAATGAATTTAAAAATAAAAAAAGAAGAACCTAATAAGTTCTATGAGATTTAAGCTTCAGCCAAATTGACCAAGGAATTTACTTACTTGCAAATCATGAATCGTTTGTTGTACGTAGGTTTGAAGTTTCTTCATATTTTCCGCAACACGGTCTTGCACACCATCCATATTCTTTAGACGCTCGACGTCCATTTGCGCAATCCTGAATGTGTCGTGGACACCACAGAGTAACGAAGGTGCGTCGAAGGCAAATGTTTCATAAATGAGTAGGTAACGCAGCGTACATTCAACATGGTATATTGCCTGACGAACACCTATCACACAGACTAAGAGAAAGTGGGACAAACCATATGATTTTTGCATCATACTGTGGTCGTTTTCTATTCTCCCCAAACGATTAAAGATCATGTTTGTTTGTTTTTGTTCTTCTTAACTACGAGTGACATGTCTGCCTTCGCACTTTTGGCAGACATCTCTATTTATTGACTATATTGACTGTTTCATAACCAAGCAATGTAGATAAAGCATGGCAGCATACTCCGTCTGTTTCTTCAGCTACCTAATCTGGATAGATTTGTAGAACCCCCATTCTTGGCTCTTCCCGGCATGGTATCTATTACTTGTTCCTAAATTCAAAATTGCCACGGAGGAAACGTCAAGTGATGGTGATGCCAAAACTAAAAATCTAACTCTCCCGCGCTTTTCAGTGGGGTGACGTCACAGGTTGTATACCTTGCTAGTCGAACAAGCCACCTAAAAAACATAGTGTTTTGCACGTATTGGTTTTGTTTTCTCTGGCGTGATCTTAACCAGCATTCATTTCACACCACTTTGTGTTACACGTCGAGAATAAGCTGAGAGAAATAGTACAGCATATGACGTCACGGTTTCAGTGTTGCCAGCAGAACACCTCAATTATTCAGACATACTTTAAAACTTTAAAAACTTCGCGAGAAAAAAATGTAGTGATATGTAACTTATGTTACTATAGTTCAAATGCGTCTACCACCCGTTCTAAAGTTTGCACCAACGTCTGTACTATATTGCTAGATCACATACTCTGTGCACTGGTTGGACACGAGTGCTGACGTCAGCGCTCAGCGAAGACTCAGATCCAATCACGCGCTTCGTATCCAATGGATATCAGAGCCGTGTATACAGAGAGTTTGGTCAATGGGAGGCACCGGCAGAGCCAGGGCGTGCATCAGACGCAGAAAGAGGACTTGGCATTCTCTCTTGCCCAACGAGAAGCCAAAAAGAATCCCCTAGCGGCGGTAGCGAGAAACAGTTTTGGTTGTTTTAATAAGCGCGTAAGAGTTTAATGTAGTAACCTTCGTGGTGGAAAATAGGGTGCACGTGATGCTTCGATCATGATCATGAAGAGAGATGGAAGAAACGAACGCGCCGTTCAACTCTGTTTTGCTCGGACAGAGTTTCCCGGCCCTCGGCGCTTGACGTACGGATTATGTCGATCGTTCCGCTAGTCGCGTTCCTCCACCAGGATTTTAAATGACCATGATTGAAACATCACGTGCACCATATTTTCAGTCACCAAGAGTTACTCTGATGCACTTATCAAGTTTGTTTCTCGCCACCACCGCCAGGGTATTATTTCCGGCTTCTGGTTGACCACTTTCGAATTTGTGAAGACGCCCTGGAACACGCCCAGCCCGCTTTCGGCCCATGGCGCCTCCTCATTTGTCTTCTATACTGTGGTGCCTGGAACACGTCTCCGACTGCTGTGTTTACCGGGTCCAAAAAAGTGGTCCCTCAATTTCTGCCGGATGACGTCATAGAAGTGTCATGCTGTCGCCGATCGCGATCCTGGCGGCGTCCCAACAGCTGTGGTGTATGTGGCAGACGCCTGTTCTGCTGCAGGTCGCTTTCCACTCTGACAGTTCACGGAAGATACAGCAGCCGGAAGTTGGGACGCTTGGGATGCCGTGACGACAGCGGCACTCGCGTTGGCCTGTGGTTTTCGCCAACATTTCTACGACCAACCGCCAAGATCGCGACAGGCAACAGCATGACACTCTGGCTTCTGTGACGTCATTTGTTGCCACTTGGGGACCACTTTTGATGTATGGGCGGGACAGGACGCTAAACACACCAGTCGGTAACGCGATCCAGGCACCATACCTATACTTCCCAATGAATGGACAAACTCTCTACATATACGGCTCTAGTGGATATGAATGACTATTGGCGACTCCAGCGAAATCGACGCCGCGTAGCGGCAACGCCGAGAAGCTCCTGAGAACCAAGCAGCGATAGCAGACTACACTGTCGTCTGCTATCGCTGCTTGGTTCTCCTAGGCCGCATAAAAACAAACATCGTTTCCAGTAATTATTTTTATGCTTCCGCTGCGTCATTCCTAAGCACTAACTAGAAGAAGGTTTCTACCGTCCAAAAATCGCTTTGCTTTCATATGTAGCACGATTTTTATGCTGCAGCGCAAGAAATTTACAGTGGTCCGCGTGCTGACCGACGCAAATTACCTCCTTTCGTCCGCCATTTTGCCTGACCAGCGCGCCCCCTATTAGCCCCGAGAAGTTCGCGTGGCGCCTCCTTACGGTAAACCGGGGTGACGTCACGGCGAGGAGAGAATTTTTCCCCGACTTGCCCCGCTCGCCTGTGGAGGTTGTGACGACGCTAGCTGTCGGCGCGCTCGTTTCTATTTTTTTTTTTTTTTGCGCGTTTTTTGTAGGAAGTGTGCATTTTTGTATGTGCCTTTATGGAGGTTTGGCCTGTAGTTACAGGCGAAACTTGAACCAACATTTTAAGCATGGTTGACAGGGCAGGCAACGCATGAATCGCAACTGGTATATGAAAATAAAGAAATATGGCGACAATTGCAGGAGCATCACTGTAGATTTACATCTCGCAGAATGAATGCTTCTGATGGTCTGAATGAATTGGCAGGTTATGCATGCTATTTTTTTTTTGTATCTCTGTTTTTAAACAAAATTGCCGAAGCAGAAAAGCTGCATGCTGCTCGAGCAACATGCTAAATACAGTCTGGGCCATGGGGAGAGAATCACAAGTAAGACAGCCCAAGTGCAGGGGCGAAGTAAAAAAAGGGAAAAAAAAAAAACAAGGAATCTTTATTATCTACATTGCACGCATTTGACCTTTGCTGGATTCGGATAGTATTTCAATGGACTACACGGGTGGTATCTGTGGACTTGTTTATATCAACTCTCAAGTAATGTATACCAAAAGTAAACGAAGGAGATTTTACTTAAATCGAATCGTCCTGAAGCTAAAATACCAGATGCTTTTCTCAGGCAGACTGTAGCCCTTCACAAGTTCCACATTTTCTGCTAATAGTGCTGCATCTACCACTGGACAGACGTTCAAATGCTTGCTTTTACTCCTGTTTTCCTCTGTTGTCAGAGAGTGCAGCTGTAGGGAGTTTGGAGGCTGAGGGAGGTTTTGGAGACCTGCAGCAGTGTCTCTTTTAATTGGAAATGACAATTCAGACTAAACGGTGTATTTTCCAAATACCCGAGTGTGGAATAAAAATGTCAGGAAAAAGTATAAACATTCCAAATTACGGCACTATTGCTGTGCATATTTTGGGCAGTTCAATACATATCATACAGGCAACTGGGGGCGATTCGGCCGTTTCCGCTGCTACCATACAAACTAATTTCCAGCAATTGTGCATCTTCTAAGACATATGCCTGCATACGTGTATAAACTATATAATTAATTTACGAAGAAACTACATTTATGTAAAACAACCTTGTTCCACGAGCACTTCAAACATAATCAGAGATGGAGCCTTTAAAACATCTGCGAACCAGCGCATGCAGTGCGGCAGCGCAAAGTCGAGGCCGCGAGCTAATTTACCGACCACGCAAAGGCCCATGATATAAATGCCACTTCAAATGCCTTGAAAGCGGGATGTAATATCGTCCTAAACCATGAACATGCAAGGAACAGAATTCCAGCGCCTGAAACACTTGCGCCACCGCTTCACCAATCCCTCGCAAAATTGCATTGTGTTGTGTAAACGGACGGGGAGGTTCATCGGCGGAATAGCCTCCGCCGGTAGCTTTCGGGATTTGTAATCCAATTTTAAAGGTAAAAGGGACAAGCAGGCTTATAAAATGTACGGAAGCACGTCAATATCGGCCTAACACAACGTCTTGTACATCGGGTAAACGAAGTCCAGCTTCTCGAAGAGCTTGCGGCACACAACGCCAAACCAGGAAGCCGGTGCTGGGAAGCGAGCCGATGCGATATCGCGGAGCGGAGTCATCCCCCTGACGTCACGGTACACCTCACCCAATCAGGGCGCGGCGACCGCAGCGACGCTTGTGTTCGCTCTCGGGGCTAATAGTTCACTGGAGTCGCGAATATCATTTGTAACGGCCGGCACCTTGCGCCAACTAGACTAAGTCTAGAAAGACTACAATGGCGACCGCCAATGTTGCCTGGCGGACTTCTAGAAAGGGTCTATTTTCAGGCAAATCAGAGTCAATAAAAATTTCGCCGAAGCTCCCATCTAAGGTTTCATTGAGAATAAATACATGTACATCACTCGTAAAGTCATGAGAATTCGAACAAAAGGCTAGCTCACGCAGTCGCGTTTTCTTACGTTGCTTTAGTTATGGGCTGCTTACGTCTGCTTACACTGCGAGTCACCGGATATGCGCGCTTCGCATAAAGCGTGGCAATCAGGCTAAGGAGTAATTTTGCACGCAACATAAGGACCACGGATGTATCGAATACTCATGACGTAACGTAAGGAAACGTGAGTAAAGGCTTCTGCGTGAATGGGTCTTTATTCTCTGGTCATTTGCAGTGGATTCATGACGCTGTTTTGAAGCATGCCAACCTCACGCCGTTAACGTTTTAATTTAAGTTATTTTTCTTTTAGCGCCCGAAAGCATTATAGAGAAAAGTGCAACACTGTGACATACGAATACAAAAATTAAAGAAACAATAAAAACGCGCATAAATATAAAATCACAAGGAAACCCGTTTAGCAAATTTGGAATTGCAATTCTAACTTTAGCAAGTTATGGTAATTGTAACTATACAACTGGGGGAAGACGATTCCAGTCAATTGAGTTTCGAGGCATGAAAGAGTAGATGTGCTGTATCGGGAGGATCCTACATTTTAATTAATCATTGGTTCATGTTGAAGTGTAATATGGTTCTGAACACAGCGCCTGACGTAACAAACGTGACTTTGCGCATAAAACAACCTTGCCTTCTTTGAAGACAATGGAATTCTGACTATTTATATATTGTTAGGTAAGGCTTTGGATATTCCGCCACATTAAAAAAATTTACCTGACGAGTAATCTTCTATTTGACAACTGATTTCACGATAAGCGAAGAAAAGAACCAGGAAAAAGGAATGCTATAATGTTTTCTCTCATGCTCTCGTTTAAGGAAGCATTCAACAAAAAGCCGAAGTACAAGCCTTGCTCAGTAAGATATAGAGACGCTTTAAACACGCGCCAGATTGAACCGTTGTAGGCGACCTTCTCTTGTTTTACCGATATACCAAGTCACTGAAGCGAGCGTTTACGACAGAGGGTTATGTTGTGGGGAAAGAACGCAGTAGCACCTAAAGTGGCAATAACCTGTCCTGCTGTGGTTATGCCGAAGTGAAGTGAGCGAAATAAGAGGAAACAAAAACTTAAGGTCGGTTATAGCGGCGCCCATGCACTGCTGCCGGAAAGCGTCTACATATCACGTACCTCAAAAAGTCCATAGACTTCTTAAGAATTGTTGATTTGGGCTCCTTTTTCGTCTTATCCTTCTTGGTTCTTAAATAATATATAAGAAAATTCCGCAGGTCGTTTATTCCAACTTCAAGTCGGTTGTAAATTGTTGCTTGCTTGTCTTGAGACACTGAAAAAAGAAAAGGAAAGAAAGAGCTGATTGAAACAATAAATGTAACTCGCTTTCTATTCCTTGTTAGACTTTAGGGTTTTGGCAAACACTTAAAGATCACGAAGAATTAACCCTCACATAAATACTGATATTGCCACGAGGCAGGAAAATACGGGCTGTCCCGTATGGAAATCTTATATCTGGGGCATATCTGGCCATATCAAACATTATATGATTATATACGGCCTATACACGTGTCCTTATCTAGAGTATATACAGCCTTATCTGGCTTATATACAGCCTTATCTGGCGCAAATACTGCCTTATCTGGCATATATACAACCTTATTTGAGGTATATCTAGCGTAGATACAGCTTTATCTGGCAGCCGAATTGCAATATATAAAAAAGTTTTAAAAAACGTTTAAAAAAGTGCCTTTTTTAGCAAACTGTGAATGACTCATTGTTCACGAGCTATATATTAGCGCAAATAATCATAAACTTCAGCTTTGGCAAGCTTAAGTATGGAATTGCTTGTGCTAATTTTGACGAGGATTTCAATGTAGCTTAAATTATTTCGAAGTGTTAATATTACGCCCGAATAGACAATTTGCTAAATCCCCCAAGCGCCTCGGCCCGTACTCGAGGAATCATGGGGACGGTGTATCTTCAGCTGCCTACTGATCGGAAATTTCCACCAATTTATGGTTACACAGTTCTGAGTGTGATTCGGAGTCACCGTGAACAAGTGTAGTATAAACCCCAAGTACCTGTCATATCACTTATAAAATTTCTCGCCAATGTCTGTACGGTGCATTCTGTCCAACCTGGATGAGCTTCAGACATATCTCTTACATTATTATCATTCTCGTACAGCTTCTAAAACGCTGATATTAAGTTATAAACGCTAAAAATGCTATACACCTCGCAAGTGGGCTCATTTACGTCTTCTGCGCATGAGAAAGGAGGCGCGAAGGCGGGAGAGGAGGTTGATGACGATTCCGGCTAAGCTCCGCCCTCGCACATGTCGAGGGAGGCCGGGGGGAAAACAAACATCGGTGTCGGCCACATAGAGTTATTATAATGTACGCTAGAGGTTCAACTGGCGCTAGTGTCTATGCGACTTCCGTGACGCAAATTGAAGCAGACAGCAACCAGTCAACTTTCGCGGTGTTCCGGTGCATTCCTATGGGAAAATGCGAGTGCATTTTGTCTCTTCGCCGGAAAATAACACGGAGCAGTTTGGTTATTTGGGTCCGAGAAGTATGTACCTTACTTAACATTGCAAAAGTGTAATTGCTTTAGTTAGCGCATTTTTCTTCATCAGTGAACGATGTTTAACTTCGCTAGATTTCAATCCCAAACGTGTGTTCCACAGCACGTATGTAAAAACACGCGACGATTTAAAGCAAAATTACGATGGAAAGGAATATAGAGTGTGTTCCAGGCTCGCCAGCATTCTGGTGACGCTTATACCTTGCTAATATGCCAGTCCTGTCACTATATGAAAATGACCCCGTCGTGTACGAGCGGATAAAAACGCTCAACACGTAATGAATAAAGTATGTGGCTTTTATCGGGCACTTGTTCCAACTTGTTCTCGAAGATTTCGAGCGTGCGGGTGATATTTTGCACTTGGAACAAGCATCTTCGTACAGAGCAGAAAGAGTAAAGCGGTACTTACATATTTTAAATCGAAATATATTACATGGCCTTCAATTTATTTTGTTCGTACATGCACGGGTAGTGGCTGATCCAGTATTACAGCGTAGTTCTTGCCGTCTCTCTTCGTTATCCACATATCCTTCGTTCGTTTGGCACGTATATTCCCCATGCTGGAAAGCGCCTACGCCGTGTTCGCGCTAACAGTGTCCGACAGTGCACACAAATACACGTACGAAGTCGTTTTAGCACCGTTTTTAATGGGATGAATCTGAAAGCAAAACGCCGTAACTGACCAATTATTGCGTCGGCCTGACTGAGAACTGTTCCAAGCAGTACGTACGAAGTATTCGGGATAATTGCTCTTATGATCGAGCGCAGGGAGAAAATGCACTAACGTTTTACCATAGAAATGCATTACCGGAAGTTGATTTCGGAATGGTTGCTGTCTGCTTCAATTTGCGTCAGCACACTAGCGCCACTTGAATCTCTAGCGTACATTATAATAACTCTATGGTTGGCCATGGCGGCCGTGCTGTAGAGGCGACCGCGAGTCTTTTATTGATTGTAGCCCGGTTAAAATTTGCCGAATTCACATGATCGAGCAGCTTTGTGCCCCTTACAATTCCTCCGTCGTCTGCTAGAGGGATTTCAGAGATTTCAAGATGAAGGCGACGAAGAGCATCAAAAAGAAGGCGCTTGCCTAGCCTCGCGATTGAAACGCCGGTTGCGCCGGTCACTACGAGACCGCCGTCCGATTGTACCGGTAAGTTGCCTTTTACCTTGTTCTCCCTTTACGAACAGAACGGATTTTGCTTTCTAGCAGGTCTTTATAAATCTTGTGTGGCGGAATCGATAGGCGCTATTAATTGAAAAACCGCCGAGAATGTAGCGTTTTCGCGATCCTCCGAAGCCCATTTTCGCAGGTGATACTTAGGAATACATACTCGTCATTTTGACTCGAAACTGCACGGAGGCCGTATAAACTATGTTCCGTTTCATTTTAAATGCGATCGAAGTTAAATCTACATGGGCGGGTTCCGATCTTTGATCATTGCTGCCATGCATGCGCGATCTTGCAGTGCAAGGGCTGATCAGATTCTCGCGTTTATAATTTTCGCTTCGCTTGCACTTAGGTGAGACGCAGTATAGTCATACATCGTATTTGGTATAGTAGTTGCAGTCTACGGTTGTAATCATGGCACTGCAGAAAAGCACAGAGCTCAAAACTTACCACAAAAACGCGATCGTTCTTCTCTTTTTCTTTCAGGAATGAAATTGGAATGGCTGTTACGTGTAATACAGTGAACACCCTCGGACAGTACAAATTTGCCGTTTCACATTAGCCAGTATGAGTGAATTGCCAAAGTACCGATGCCGCCTTTCTGCAAAATGTGTTGCCCCGCAGTGTATCCTCTAACCACATCGACGCTGTCAGTGTCTGACGTGTTTTTGTGTGTCGCTTGTCTCCTTTTTCGTTCCCGTACCAAGATAAAAATTCGGAGATTGCGCACTATCCAAACCTAGCTAATGAGCGCCCCATGGAATTGACACGGGAGTAAACAATGACTGACATGTATATATTTTTGTTTTGTTCGCTCAGCAGGCTGGGTCAAGCAACAGCCAGTGTGTAAGTGACAAACTTTCTAATATCATTTGTCATTTCAAGGTCCCAGGTGGGCTCTCGACATCCAGAAACACTCCAACAGATGGTGGTCATACAGCGATTGTGAAGAATATGAAGACAGTCCCATTTGGATCAACATTTCTACTCCACTTATTGATAATCTTTCCTTGTTTCATCAATGCCCAAGTATGTCAGGCACTGAGTGACTACTCGCATGTGTTAGTGATGCTGGCATGCGAGGCCTCAGTATTGTCGCTGCCGATAGGGCTCACACCAAAGCTGTTCATGGTGCACCTTTCCATGGAGTTGTTTGGTTGATTCCAATTTTCTAGAAACGCTAATATTCAGTTTGGTGTGCCTTGAAGTAGATTTTTCAAGGAGGTCTCGTCTCTTTCCTGGGGGTAATACCATGTCAGCTGCTTTGCATCCGCCACTTGGAAACTGTTTGGACCGCTCTAAAGAACTTGTAATTGACCTTATCTGTTGTGTCCATGCTAATGCTGAAATGTAAAATTCACTGAACCATGTTTTACTAATGAACAAACACAATCAGTGGAAAGGAATGGCTTTATTTGTTTTCTCAAAGTATGCACTCTTTCGTACCTAATAAATGATGCTGGAAAGGCTACTTTCATTAGCAGACAACTTAGTCTACACTCTGTTTCACTATAACTTGGTGAATTGTGGAGGCTACGGCTCCTGTGAACCAGTAAGAATGTCGGAGCGAGGCACATGACAGCATGTCACAGGAGCGTTTGTGTCACCACGCCAAATGCAAGGACCTCCCGCCAGAACCGGCTGTCGTCTGCTCAGAAACCAAACAACTTCGGATGAACGTCCAATGCAGCAACATTAGCGTCGCTAGAGTTGCGAGCTCTTCAGGAACACTTTTATGAGACAACCACATGCTCAATTCGCCCATGAATCTGAGGCGGGTGCTAATGCTAGGGCGATGTTTTGAGCGGAAGTGGTCGATTCACGGCTACGATTCTTTGAACATCGATCACAAGCCATGTTTTTCTCAAAAAAGTGTTGATCCATATTAAGTGTCGTTAATAAGTAACATATATCTCCGTCTTTCTTCAGTGTCGTGTAGTGTTGCGGTCAGAAGAATCCGACGGCAACACTACTAAAAGAAGAAAAAAGACAAAGCCGAGAACTATGTTTTGTCGCAGATGGCGCTGTTGCTGTGGCGATAACGAGGACTCGACCATGGAGTGTTGTCGCGTGCCTGGCTACGATGCTCTTATTGGGTCGCAACGTTTGCCAAGTTACCGTGAAACGGAGTATAGTGTCTCACCTGTACATGCTATAAAACGAATGAGATGCCAGGTGTAGCCACTCTCGCAGCTGTAGCCCTTATATTATTGTTTGCTATGCTGTTTGGAAGAATACATAAAACAACCAGTTTACAAAGCCAAATCTAATTTTTTGCACTCTTGCATGTTACGAAAATAGAAGCACCACGCCTGAACACCAACATCTGTCTCTAAATTATTCCTTGCTGAAATAAAAAATAAATATACTATGAATATGAACCAATACAATCTCAAGCAGGTTTTATTTATTTATTTATTTTATTTCAAAATACTATCACTCCCTACATGGGACTAGGATAGGGACGGCATGAACAAAAAACTTGATAAACACTGAATGGAAAAATAAAAAGAACACCACAAAACCTTGACAACTGTATTCGTTGCAAACCCGTCCTAAAAATATATTACAGA